GGTAGCAGGATAAGATCTCTCGCTGAGGGGCCCAATCCTGCCCTGGACGTGAACCATCCTCTGTCCGGGGTCTTCACGGCACAGAGGGGCCCTGCCTGTTCGTCACTTCGTCGCTTCTGGCTTATCAGACTAATTGTTGTGCTTGTGTGTTCAAGTCACCTTTATTTTCCTTCTAATACCGCGTTCACATAACTCTGATTACAGAATATCCTTATGGTTGTTCTATCTTATTAGTTACTGTTAAGCTCTTACTACGCCTAATTTGTAAGTTCAACTTTATCATAGGTATTTTTATACGTATAGGAAAAAATCATAATATAGAGAGTTCCGTACTATCTGTGGCTTCAGGCATCCACTGGGGGTCTTGGAACGTACAGGGCTTTTTCAAGGAAGAGAATTACTAGTATCTCACTGATGCTGCTTGGAATTGAATTGCTGGCGCTTGGTGATACAAAGCAGATCGGTTTGTCGTTGGTTTTATTGTGTTTTCATTTGTAAAGCCAGGTCCCTCCCCTTCTCTCCCTTCTCCTCCTCCTTCCTCCTGCCTGCACCTGGGTGGCCACCACTGCCCCCTGCCTGCCTTTGATTTGCTTCAGCTATGGGAAATCAGAATGCAACCGCCTGGGGCATCACTGAGAGTGCACAGGCTGTACATAGGCTGTGTGCATGAGAAGTACACGTATATTACCTTGGCTGTAGGTTGCAGGCCTGACTCCAGGAGTGAGCAGAGCTGAAGAGCAGTCACTCACTGTTCACGCCTGCAACTGAGGGAGGGTGGATGGGACCTCAGGATGCTCCTTGGCCTGCCTCCGTGCTCAGGCCACGTTCCCCACCAGGAACCTGCCTTGTGTGTGAGCTGTCATCAGCGAGGCACAGCCCCGGGGGCAGGGCCAGGCCCCAAGGAGGTCTCTGGTCTGTTCCAACTTGGAAAGTGGCCAGGAAGCTCTGATAGGCAGGCGGGGTGGGGAGGAAGGTGTGTAGAAGGAGCCTGGAAAGGCGGGAGACCCTTGACGAAGGAAAGAAAATGCTCAGAGGCCTCTGAGTTCTTGAGCCGGGAAATCCCTGTTTATTTCTTCATATCCCATGTTTTCTGGCCTTTCCCCCCTCAGCCCCTCACCGTCCTTGATTTCTTTCCCTTTTATCTTTCCTAAACTTCTCATCCACAGCTACTCTCTCCCCACCCCACCCACCATCTTCTCACCGTTTGCCGACTCATTGGAGAAGCAAGCACTGAGGAGGGCAGAGGCTCTGCCACCCACTGCTGTGTCGCCAGCACCTGGCATGGAGGAGGTGCTCAGTATGTATTTGCCACCGGGAGGGACAGCCTGCCCTTGCCATCTTGGGGCCTTGGGGTTGTCCTGGCCCCGGCAGCCCAGGGCCATGGGATGAAGCCCACAGTCTGACAAGGCAGGTGTTAGCTGATGGCACCCGGAGCCCTGGGCGGCTCAGCTGGAAAGGTAAGAGTGTTCATAGGATGTGTGGAAGGGTGAGGAGACATGAAGCAGTGTTTGGGCTGCTCTGTGCAAAGCAGCGCCATATGCTAAGGGCCAGCATCAGTTCTGGGCTGCCAAGCGGGCCTGGCTCCCGTTCCCATAGCAACCACCAAGCCAAGGCTCCATGGGATGTTGTGCTCTGCATCCGGGCTGGAAATCCGGACTCTTTTTTTTTTTTTTTTTTTCCTTAAGTAATCCCAAACTCACAAAGCTTTGGCTAATTTTATTTATTTATTTATTTATTTATTTATTTATTTATTTATTATTTGTTTTTAATTGATTTTAGAGAGGAATGGAGAGGGAGATAGAGCATTGAGAGAGAGAGAGAGAGAGAAGCATCGCTTGGTTGCCTCCTGCATGCCCCCTATTGGGGATTGAGCCCAAAGCCTGGGCCTGGGCCCCGACTGGGAATCAACAGGTGACCTCTTGGTGCACAGGATGGCGCTCAATCCATTGAGCCACACCAGCCAGGCCCAGGCTGTTTTCTGACAAAGTGATTTACATACTCTAGGAGGGAGCTGGGAGTTCCATTCTTCCTGGGAATTTCAAAGTTTCTGCTAATCTAGGATTTTAGAGTTCCAAGTTCTTTTTGAGTAAAAGAGACCTTCCTTAAAAGGGGGATTGTCATGACACTGCAGCTTCAGCTGGGTGTCCCTGGGAAATACTGTTCCTGTGAACTTGGCAGCCGGCTTTGTCAGTGTCTGCCGTACCTGCCTGATGAATGGCCCAGGCCCCAGGGATGCTGTGGTGCTCTCTCAGTCTGGTGGGGCAGTACTGGTCTTTGTGAGTTTAGTGTAGGGATGGGCTGCAGGAGGCAAAGATGCCAGGAAGAAGGCTGCTACTTTGGTCTAGGTCTGACCTGGATCTATATAGGGGAGTGGGTGGAGGCAGGATGTATCTTGGAGGTAAAACAGAGTTGTCAGTAATGGAACATGGAGGTGGGGTGGAGAGGAGACATTCAGGATGGTCCCAGGTCTTCGTCATGGCTATGAAAGGAGGTAAACAAGAGGGCAGAGGCTGCGTTTGGGTTCAGCTGGGCTGAATTTGAGGTGCAGCCTGGTGGAGATGCCAGGTAAACACCTGGATATGACAGGCTCTAAGAGCTGGATGTGCAGGTTTGGGGCCAGCACTGCAGAGAGGTGGGGTTGAAGTCACGAGGGAGGCTGTTATCTCAGGAGAACGTGTGGGGTGAGAAGACGAGATGGCCGTAGGGAGCAGCATGAGGAAGTCCAGAAGAGCAGGATCCAGGAAAGACCACGTGAAAACCTACAGGGAGAGGGGAGGAGGCCAGGAAAGAGCTGGGAGAGGGAGGCAGGAATGACAACTGGGAACCACTGCATGTTGGGGCTGGAAGTGCCGATAGGTGATAGGGATTTAGTGACAGGGCCCCTGGGGCCAGGTTCCGGTGGTTTGGGGACTGAATAAAAGGTGAAGAAATTTGGGACAACAGTCTTGAGACATTTTGGAGTGAAGGCAGGGTGGGTACTAGCTGGTAAAGGGCATGGGGCTCAAGGAAAGTGTATTTAGCAAGACTGGTGAGACTGAAGTACATTTAAATGCTCCTGGGAAGGGCTGACAGGAAAGAACACGGGCAGGACTTAGCTAGCAGTGTTACCGGGACATGCCCTGAGCTGGGAGTGTGTGTGTTCTTGACTTCCTGTATGCAAAATTTCACAACACGAGTCCAAGTGACTATGGGGGCGCCGTTATTAAAGCTGGGGACAATAAAACAAAGAAGAGCTTAGGGTAGAAGAAGCAACAACAGAAAGCCTAGGCTGGGCTGCTTTAGCTCACTAGGAAGTCAGAGAGAGGGGGCCCTGGAGACAGGTTCAAGGGGTTCGCCTAGGATGGCTGCCACTGCCCATTGCTCCTCTGGCTGCAAGTCTGTGTAGGAGATGTGTGTCTATGGGGAATGAGGAAGAGGATGGGCCAGAGGGAGCACCCCCCAACCCCCAAACTGAGTCCTTTGCCCTGAGGCTTTGATCTCTTTTGCAGGCGGGAATTTTAGGGGAGGTCTCATGGGAGGGTTTTGGCAGGTTATTCATCAGTTTTCTAGGTGTGCTCCTCCAGGGTGGTGGTCTACACTGACTGGTCAGTGTCAGGGCAGGGAGTTGTTAGCCACTGCAGTTGGTCCTGGCTTCATCCACCTGGTTTTGCTGCTTTTCTGGGCCTGGAGCTGAAATACAACTGAGGCCCAGATGTCACTTACAGGGAGGTGGTCTGTATCTGCTGTAAATGGGTCTGCCAGTTTATTCAGCTATGTGTCTGTTTCCCTGTCCCAAGGGTCCTGGCTTACTGGCCTGCCATACCTGGGGGAGGTAAGGGGTGGCTTGCAGAGCCCCAGCTCTGGTTAGGGCTTTGTACTCCCTTCAGGTGGGAGAGGGCTCCTGGCCCAGAGCCAGTGGTGAGGCGTGAGAGCTATCAGAGGAGAGTGGCCTAGGTCTCAATCCAGGGGGCCTAGCAGTAAAGGGTCCCTCAGCTGGGTTACCTGCCTCTTTTCTTTCACCATGTCTCCATTTTAGCCCACTCTTCGGCAAACTGCGGCTCATGAGCCATATGCAGCTCTTTGGCCCCTTGGGTGTGGCTCTTCCACAAAATGCCACGGCCTGGGTGAGTCTATTTTGAAGAAGTGGCATTAGAAGAAGTTTAAGTTTAAAATATTTGGCTCTCAAATTTCAATCGTTGTAACTGTTGATATTGGCTCTGTTGACTAATGAATTTGCAGACCACTGTCCTAGGTTATCTTAAATCCCATGCAGCAGTCTGTTTCCCATCTACATTCTTATTTCCAGCCACACCCCTTGCTAGCCACACCCCGGCTTTCCCCACAGCCCAGCTACTGTTTTCTACTCCAGCCCAGACACCCATTCCCCCCCAGGCTGGCTTCCCTGGATTCTCCCCTGAGTTACCAGCTTCTCTCTTTCCCAGTTCCTTCTCCAGCCCCTTTCCCAGTTCCTACTCCAGCTGCACTAGCACAGTGTTTCCCAAACTTCTCTCATGATGAGAATCACCTGGTGGAGTTGTTAAAATACAGATTCCTGAATCCCAACTAAGCAGTGCTAAACTAGAATTTTGGGGAACATATAGGTAAAATTGTATACTTAGAGCACTAGGTAAGTATACAATTGTATACTTAGAGCACTAGGTAAGTATACAATTGTATACTTTGAGCACTAGGTAAGTATACAATTGTATACTTTGAGCACTAGTTAAGTATACAATTTTACCTATATGTTCCCAAAAATTCTAGTTTAGCACTGCTTAGTTGGGATTCAGGAATCTGTATTTTAACAACTCCACCAGATGATTCTCATCATGAGAGAAGTTTGGGAAACACTTCACTAACATAACTCCCTGCATTCGCCCCAGCAACTTCCTGCCTGCAGCTGCCTGCTGGTCCTACCTACGTCCCGGCCCCGCCCAGTCTGTAGCCCCGCCCTTACCCGCCAAGGCACGCCCATTCCCCATGATATGCATCACCATTGGCTGACTCCTTTATAGGACCCCGCCCCCTCGGCATCCACTTCTGCCATTGGGGCAGAGAGACGCCCGTCAGCGCCGTCGCCTGGCAACAGGGCTGGCCGCTCCAGGGGGAAAAATCCTTGAACAGCCAGACAAACCGGAAGGCAAGTCCAGTTTTCGGAGCTGGGAAGGTGAGTTTAGTTCCGTGGTGAGGGGGGCAGAGGTGAGCTGAGAAAAGCGGCGCTGGCTCTGTGGCCTGGAAGCGGGGGCAGCGATCAGGGGCAATGACCCTGGTCCTGGGAGCGAAGGTACCCCGAGTCGCCTGGGCCCTGCACCTCTCTGCCAGGGGCCCTAGGTGGGGGCAGGTTAGGGGCAATGGGGGGACAGCTTTGAGGGATGGAGGGTCTCCGTGTGGTCTGTCAGAGCACAAAAATCACCCCGCACCTCCAGTCTCTTGTTTGCTGGAGGTAAAAGTGTCCCAGCAGGTGCCACCGCCAGGTCCGAGGCCATCGGTCTGGAAGGGTGAGCAATAATGCTGGTATGAACATGGGAGAGACTGGAACATCTGTGGAAGGAGGAGTCAGGGAGGTTAAGGTGGAATGTGAGGTGGGGAAGAGAGGGGGAGGAGTTGAGGAGAAGGGGGATCTTCCTTCTTGCTTTTCTGATCACAACCTACTAGCTTTTCCCCAGGTTAGTTGAGTCTGATCACTAAATTCAGGGCAGAGGGGAGAGGGAGAGAAAGCACCCGTATGCCGACACCTGCAGATGAGTCTGGGGCTCTCTGGAGGGCGGAAGCCGGCCTTTGCAGGTCAGTTCACCTTCCGGCCAGCAGGACTCTGCGGGGCCTGAAGGCTGGCTCCGGTCCAAGCTGACCTTCTGCAGGAGGGCTGCTGGTTCTGGGACATAGGCAGGGCTTGAAATGCTTTTGTCCCAATGAGGCAGGTGGATTCTTCCCAGAAAGGGGGTGCGTGAGGGTCAGGTCACCAGTCTCGGGACCGTGGCCCCTGGAGGTGGGGAGTTAGAGATTGACAAGCCAGGGTGGAGAGCATCCCCAAATGGGAGCCAGTTGGAGAGGTTCTGAGAGGCTGACTGAGCTCTCCTAGGACGCCTGGCCCCTCAGCGGACAAGGGCTCCCGCTCCCTCCCCTGCACGGAGGGAGTTTGTTTCTTCCGGGCTGTTCCTCTTGTTTCAAGGCAAGAACTCAGTCTTCCCTGGCGGGCTCATCTGTGTCTGTCTCTGGCTCCAGAAAGCAGAATTAACGGCCTATGTTACCTTGCTTAACCCTTTTCACCTCATTACAGCGTTGGCGGCACTTCCTCCATTTTACTAAGGTTCAAAAAGGCCTAGTAGTAACTTGCCCTGGTCATACAACCAACAAGTGTTGACCTTGAACTCAGAGATGCTCGTCTTTGTTACACCATCATTTCAGACCCGGGGCCCTGCACTGGGGCGAGGGTTCCAGGGTACGATTCAGTGCAGTTCTGTGTGGACTCTCCCGCTCTGCCCCATGGCTCCCGTCCTTGGAAGCCAGGATTCCCCACCCTCTGCCCTTCTGACGTTTAGGGCCAGGGAATTTTATTTTTTATGGGGCGGGCCTCCTGTGCACTGTAGGATATTTAGCAGCACCCCTGATGCCAGCCAGCAGTGACCCCTTTCTTAGTTGTGATAACCAAAAATCAACTTGCCAAATGTCCCCTGGATCAGTGGTCGCCAACCGGTGGTGCGTGGTCTGTGAGGTCCAAAAGGTTGGCGACCTCTGCCTTAGAGGATAAACCCACCCCAGCTGAGGACCGATGGGGTGAGCGATCTTGGGGTAATGTTGCGGTGCGTCCTCCTGAAAGGGAACCTGGCATAGGACCCTACAGGAGACGCAGGCCAGCGGAGGGTGCCTGTTTGCACAGCTTGCCAGGAAAGAGTCTGTGCTGCGTGGCGAGGTGCACCTGGGACAGCCCCCCGTGAAAGCCATCGCTGGGACTGGAAGGAAGCCAGGAACTTGCATTGCGGAGAAGTATGGACACATAGAAGGCTTCGTGTCCTTCCCAAAATTGAGTGTAGATTTCTGGCATGTTCACAGCGATGGAGGCTGGGGTGGATGAACCGGGGACACTTTGTACCATCACTGCCTCTGGCCTGCCAGGCGCTCTTTAAAAAGAGGTGTTTTGAGATGTGTCCCTTGTCCAGTGCCTGCGGGCTAGGAATGGCGGGGCGGGGGGAGGGCATGTTGTTAGGAGCTGCCCCTCCTCCCATAGGCCTGAAGCTCCTATTTGCGGCTGCTCCACACGCACTCCTTCCTACTAGGAAAATGGTGTTGCCAGGGCCTAACTTGTGTCTCCAATAGGCAGCGCCCACCCCCAAGCTGATGGCCTGCACCTCTCCTCTGCATTGCCCTGCCTTGGCTGCTCACCCAGCCTTTCCTCTCTCACAGTGTTTGGGCGCTGGGCAAGGCTGGCCGGGAACTGGGCGAGGCTGGCCGGGACAGGGCATGGCTGGCCGGGTGCTCCGTCCTGATTTATTTTCAAACAGTGGAGGAACCTATTTCCAGAGGGACGGAGGAGGAGGTGGGAGGGCTGGACATGAGGGGCAGACGGAAGTCCCTTGCTCTGTAGTCCCTTCAGGTACCTTTCCCACACCAGGCCTCACCTCACTAATCTTGGGGTTCACTGTCCCCACTTCCTAGCTAAGCCTCCTGTGGGTGCCTGAAGATCCAGCCTGAGCATGAGTTCTCACCCTGATCTCCCTGACCCTGCAGTTGTCTGCCTCTCCCTGTTACACGGGAGTTCCTGCAGGCCCAGGCCTGCCTGAGGCTTCTCTCTGTCACCTGCTCAGGAGATGCTGAGCTGTTTATTGAAGGAACAGATGCATTTGCTGAGGTCAGGAAGTGTCCTGCAGGAGGCCGGACCAGTGGCCCCTTCATGGCACAACCCCTGGGTATACCACAAACTTCCGAGGAGGGGCATTTAAAAGTGGGTGGCCTTTCACCCCCGCCAGTGGGGCAGAGGGTGAGAAACTCCTTACTGAGGTTGGTGTCCCCTGGTAGAGAAAATCCTTGGTTTTGAGCAGGGCGGAGCGTGCTCAGGATTCCGGGTAACTGAGGTGTGGCACTTCTGTGTCTTATGAAGCCGGAGGTGGCGTCATCTCGAGATCCTGGCCTTGCTGTGGGTTCTGCCTGGTGGCTTCTGGGCTTGTGTTCTTCAGGCTGGGACAAATCACTTCCTTGGATGTGCTGAGTCCCGGCCGTAGTCTAGGCCTGATGGGGTACAGAGATGAGGCACTCTGGAGCCATCCCGTTGTGAATAGTAGAGTACCAATCCAGGAGAGCTTGAGCCACTGTGAGCAAGTCCCATAGGAGCTGAACATGGGGTGCTTGGGCCTCTCAGGACCTTGGCCAGGCCAGCCTTGGGGGTTTATACCTGGGAGCCCACAAGGACGGGGGAGAATGGGTTGGTCCCCCTGAGAGGCCAGTAAAGGATATGACACAGTCATTGGACATGACGTCTCCGTATCTGCATGCACCAGGTTGGCCTAGGCCCTGGGCAGGTGGCTGTGGGGCAGAGTCTCTTGTGACTCAAATTCTAGCCAAGCAATTAGGCATGCACCTGGGTGCTGGAGGTGGGGGGCAGTGAGGGGTAAGCGGAATGAGCAAGAATGTCCTGTCTCCATTTTCAGTTAAGGCAACAGTCAGTTCTAGGAAAGTCACAGATGCCGGGTAGTCTCGGAACCCGAAGGCTGAGTGCGATGGTGAGGTGTGCAAGGTGGACAGGGAGGGCCCTCCGAGCCAGGCGAGGGGCAGGAAGGCCTGGTGCCCGCGTGGGCCTCACACATCTGGGCGGCTGGCCGTGGGAGCCTGCTGGGCGGGCGCAGCCTGGAGAGCTCAGCTTTGATAGGAGCCGTGCTAACGTCTCAGAAGCCTCCCCCTCCCAGGTGTCAGGAAGCTCTTCATCTCTGCCAGTGTTTAGCGGAGTCATGGCTTTCTCATGTCACAGCCGTGAGGTTTTCTAGAGGAAGGAAAAGTGAGCTCTTTGCTATGAAGACCCTGTCCATCTAAGGACGAGATGAAATCACTGGGGTGCATTTTTGTACATTTATCACTTTCAGGATTTCAGCAGAAGAACAAGATAGGACCCAGGGTGGGTCGTGTGACAAAACTTCTGGTGGCCTGATAAACTGACACAGATTTTTAAAATATATATATACTATTGATTTTTTTACAGAGAAGAAGGTAGAAGGATAGAGAGTTAGAAACATCGATCAGCTGCCTCCTGCACTCCCCTTACTGTGCCCGCAACCAAGGTACATGCCCTTGACTGGAATCAAACCTGGGACCTTTCAGTCCGCAGGCCTACGCTCTATCCACTGAGCCAAACTGGTTTCAGCAACACTGATTTTGAGTGAATTACTTGGGTGTGTGTGTGTGTGTGTGTGGGTGGGTGGGTGTGGGTGTGGGTGTGGTGGGGAGTATGAATCTAAAAGTACTTTTGACTGTCATGATTTACCAGGGATATATGTAAAGCTGTGACGGAACAAAGCAAAAGCAGGACCAGGCTGTACAGACAAAGATAAGATCACGGTGCGATCTCCCCAGATACCTCCCCACCCACCACTCACCTGGTAAACTCGAACAGTGCGGCCTCCTTCCTAGTGCTAACTGTAGCCCCTTTCTGTTCTCCCTGCATCTTTGTTAAAAATGAAGACACCCAGTCACTGATCTGCACCCAGGCCAGACTGAACCCTGCCTTCTCCGAACCCTCCAAGGAGACAGCCCCAACGCCATCCCAAGCCCCCTCACTGCTCTTACCAAGACCCCACCCCCCGCTTCCTCCCTGCAGCAACTTGGAAACGCAGCTTCTTGCTCATCTTCATTGTGGTTTCTCCTGGGCCTCGCCTCGGACTGTTCCCTGAAGCGCACAGCATGTAGGATGTAGGAAATTAACCTCGGAACCAGAGGTGTTTGTGCCCTGCTCCTCCCTTTGCTTTGCACTCTTTCCCACTCTCTGCTGGGATCAATGGTCTTTAAAGACCATGATGATGGCTCATCTCCTAATCTGGTCTTAAATGGTCAGGTTATTTCTTGGGTTTCTTAGAATAATTGAAGAGGATTGGCCAGTCTTGGCGTGGCTGCTTGAATTGTGCCCCTGGAGGGGACTAGGGGTCAGCTGGTGCTGCCCCGCTGTGGTTAGAGATAGTAAAGCCGCCTGCAGGCTGGCCCTGAGCCAGGGTCTGGGTTTCCTTCTTGGCCCTCATGCTGCTGAGAAACTTGAGGAGTGGAAGTATTTAGATCAGATGGCCCGTGAGTGACAGCTCTACACTGGTTGCTAAGACCTCACTTGCAGCCTGCGTTTGCAAGTGCTCTGAGTCCCTCTCCGTGCCTCTGCTGGAGCCTTCCTGTTCGGCCGATGGTGCCCCTGCCAGGATGGCAGTGATAAGAACAATGATGGGAGAAATAGCAAGAAAGTTGGAGAGGATCCAGGGACATCGGAACACTTGCACTTTGCTGCTGGGGACGGCAAATGGAAAACAGTCTGGTGGTTCTTCAAAAGTGAAACATCGGCCGGGACCGGTTTGGCTCAATGGATAGAGCGTCGGCTTGGGGACTGAAGGGACCCGGGTTCGATTCCGGTCAAGGGCATCTACCTTGGTTGCGGGCATATCCCCAGTAGGGGGTGTGCAAGAGGCAGCTGATTGATGACACTCTCTCATCGATGTTTCTAGCTCTCTATCTCTCTCCCTTCCTCTCTGTACAAAATCAATAAAATATATTTTTTTAGGAAAAAAAAAAAAAAAAGTGAAACATCGGATTACCACAGGACCCAGCCATTCCACTCCAAAGTCTGTACCCCCCAAACTTGAAAGCAGGGACTCAAACAAGTACTTGTGAATATTGCTGCTGTGAACATGCGTGTACAATACCCAAAGGGAGGAAGCAGCCTAAATGTCCATCAGCAGATGAGCGGATACGCCAAACGTGCTCTCTCCACACACTGGAGAATACTTGGCCACGAAAAGGAAGGAAGTGCTGACACGCACTGTAGCAGGATGAGCCTTGAAAACATTCTGTTGAGTGAAAGAAGCCAGTCACAAAAGGACATGAGTGTGATCCCATTTACATGAGAAGAGCAGGGTAGGCAGGTCCCGTGGAGAGGTGAGCAGTGAATGGCTGCCAGGGTTTGGGGGAGGAGGAATGGGGAGTGACTAGTAATGGTTACGAGGTTTCCTTGGGGCACCAATGGAAATGCTTTGGAACCATATAGCGGTGGTGGGGTACACTATTGGGAATGTACTAAGTGCCCTGAGCTGTATCCTTAAAAGGGTGAGTTTTATGTTTATCGAGTCTCACCTCAATAAAAAGAAAGAAAAGATCCCAACTGCCCTCCATTTCCCCTTGAGGTTTGCAACAGCCGGGACCTGAGGGGCCTGTTACATACACGCCGCGCCCTCTGGGATGGCTGCCCCTCCTTCACTGTCCTGGTGGGAGATGGCTGACCCTTGCAGTTTATGGAGTGCTTGTCTCCCCAGCAACTTCACCAAAGCGAGTTTCCAGATTAAGTTTAGGTTAAGAATTAAGAAGTCACAGCACTTGCCCCTAAAGAGATTTTTTTTTTTTTTTTCCCATCTGACTGTGCTTTTCTCTTTGAATCTATGGATCTGTAACGGGGTCTGTGATAATGAACAAAGGTCACCTGCTTTTGGGTTCTAGTCTGTGCAAACTCCTGAGCTCACTGGCTGGAAAATTTAACGATCACAATAATCTCTGAGGTACGGCTATGATTTATTACTAGGGGCCCAGTGCACAAAATTGTGACTTGTTAGTGTCCCTAGGCATCGCATGGCCTCTGTCACATGGCCTCTGCCGCCCTGTGATGCTACCTGAAGCTCCCTGCCCCAGGATGCTCTGTGATGCTTGCAGCCCCTCGACAGTTTGTTTTCTGTGGCCATGGCATTTGATTTTTCTCTCTAACTCAGTACCTTCTCCTGCAGAGAATCCTGCCAGCGATAAGGCAAGATGGGGAACAGCGGGAGCCGCCCGGAGCAGAGCGTTTGGTCACAGTTTCTTCCTGAGGAGCAGGCGGAGGTGGACCGGTTGTTTGATGCCCTGTCATCGGAGAAAAGCAGCTCGGCCTCGCCCAGGTCCTTTTCTCTGGAGGCGCTCAAGGCAAGAGCCACAGTCGCCCGTTAAGGCTTAGTCCAGAGCAGGAGTCTGCAAACCATGGCCCCCGAGCCAGAATTGGCTCTGTTTCTGTAAGATTGAACTTTAAAAAGTTCCTTTTCTGTCCAGGGTCAGATAGTACATATGTCACAGCTACTCCGCTCTGCCTTCCTCTCTCATTTCCAGTGAGATTGAACAAAGGGGCCAGCCCCGCCTCCCATCTCTGGACCTTTCGGGTTCATAGGTCCAGTAACGGCAAAGGTTTCCTTTTGCCTTTAGGATTTAAGTGTTTGATGTTCTTTTTGCCCTTAGGCTTTGTTAAGTCTTAGGAATTTTATGGTCCGCCTAGAAAATAATGATGTTTCAAAGTCAAGGTTCATCCAGGGGTTAAAATGCCCTTTCCCCCACCTTTATGCCTTGTTCCCTGGGGGCTTTAACTGCCTGTCTAAGTGCTCAGACAGAGGGAAGACACCAGAAAAGATGACATGGGCTCGTGTGCCTGGGCCGTGAGGGAAGGCCTGTGTGAGGCGCTCGGGCGGCCTCCTCTTGTAGAGCATGCAGAATGGGAGCTGATGGGCATCAGGGATCCCCCAGCAAAGTCGCCTCACAGATGAGCTAACTGGCCAGGGAGGTTATGTGGGTCACAGCCTTGTGGTGTATGTGTGTGCACAAGTATCTCCACTGGACCATAATCACCCCCATCTGCCTGGTCACCCCCTGTGCTGGAGCAGACAGAACCAGACCAGACTGGACGGCAGAGTGGGTGGCAACATCATAAGTGTTTGTTGAGATAAATATGGTTCAAGTTGATCGGAAAGCTTTGGTGACTCTATAGTTTCCCCTGAGAAGGAATTAGAGATTGCTTTTCCAGTAGAAATCCAGAAACGCTGACAGAAGTAGATATTCTCCTGAGAGCCAGGGTGAGGGCCAGCTTTTCAGGAACTGCAGAGCATGGCTGCTGTCACACACAGTGCAGGTGGAGGGTTACAGAAGGACCCGTGTTCAGGCCCCACCAGGATGGAAGTTCATGATTTGCTTCCTCTCGCCATTTATTTTGAATCTCTGCACCAAATCTGATCTGATGACGCTCAAAAGGAAAGCGATATTTACAGAATGTTATTGGCAAGACATTAAGAACTAGATTTTAAGTTGAAATAAAAATTAATTTAAAATGCACGTTAAGCACACAGAACTTGGATAAGAAGTGAAAGCCAGCTACTATGTTTGGAAGCTCCTAATATAGAGGAGACCAAATTAGCTGCAAATAGGCATATGCACCATATGTTTATAAATTCAGACGTGCAAATGGCAGCTATCCGTGTAGGAGGAAGATGTTGTAAGGAGAGTGAAGAGCAGATGATGGCCTGATGTAGGAGTGGCATGGCCAGCCATGGGGAGACGGGAAAGTCTGGAGAGGGGGGAACAGATTGTGGAAGAATCCGAGGGCCAGGACGAGCCACCAGCCAGGGCACGTTATGCATGTGGGTCCTTGGTGATGCGAGACCCTTCGGTGCGGGAGAGATGGTGCGTGTGAGGATCTGGGAAGGCTACATGCTGGTAGAAGCATCTTGGCATAGTGGTTGGCCGTGGTTCCCTTGTTACCATGTTTAACTTGGACCCTGTCTAGCCCTTTCTCCTCTTTGTCCTTCCCAGAGCCACATTGGGGAAGCGCTTCCCCCAGACATGGTCGCCAGGCTGTATGATGGCATGCGGAGGGTTGACCTGATGAGACCGGCGAAGGGGCCCAGCGAGAGCGTCTCCCGGGAGCAGTTCACAGCGTCCATGTCCCACCTGCTGAAGGGGAGCTCCAGGGAGAAGAGCTTCATGGTCCTGAAGATGATTTCTGCCACAGACGGCCCCGTGAAGGCACGCGAAGTCCTTAAGGTAGGGAGGCCTGGGGACCAGTGCAGCCATCCCCATGGTCCCGGTGTCCATAAGTGGGGGGCTCGGGGCGGTCAAGTCGCCGGTGGAAGCATCGGAGAGATGCCCACCTTGTGGGAAGCCTGAGTCACCTAGCTGGTGGACAAAGGCCTTGGCAAAGCCAGACCAGCCGAGGGGATCATTAGGAAAGTGAATGACTACCTCAGCAACATGATCTTTTTCTACGTTGAGGCCACTGCAGTTGGCATTAGAGGGATAAAACCCCTCTCCCTTGCTGATAGGACGTAGGTCCCCCGTCCCCGGTAGAAATGTCATTCCTGGTGACATTGTAACCTTCCAGTTCACAGAGGATCTCGTCGGCTCTCTGGTGCACGTGCTGAGCCACAGGCAGGAGCTGAGAGGCTGGGCGCCGAAGAGAGCCCCCGGCCCCCCGCCCAGGGTGCAGGCTCTGGCTGCGCAGCTGCTCTCCGAGGTGAAGCTTGCAGGCAAGTGCCCTGCACGTGCCCACATGCTGAGGCCTCCATGGTGCCATTCTGTCTCAATACTGTGGGCCTGCAGTCACGTTTTAGAATCTGAAAGTGTGAGTCTCCCACCTTGGGAAGACTGTAGATGGTCTGATTGGTTGGTATATGACTGTTCATAGTATTTCTTCACCATCCTCATTCTGCAGGTTGAGGTGAGGAGATATAAGGGCCTGTGATCGCCCAGTAACACCGTTTTCCCTTTCCCTAGACGGCAAGAAGCTGCTGGGCCCTGAGCGGCTGGACTGTGACTGCGATCCCGCTGTGATCGAGGACTGGGTGTTCAGGGCCTACCTGGTGGCCACGTTCCTGAGCGTGGTCATCCACCGGGGCTTTGGCCTGTCCTGGCCCCTCGACCTGGCCACGCTGGTCCCCGAGCGGCAGGTTGACCAGGGGCAGCAGTTTAACAGCGTCCTGGACCCCCTGTCAGTCATCTACCTCAACTCCCAGCTGCCCCGGGAGCAGCAGCACCGCTGGCACCTGCTCTTCTCGTCCGAGCTCCACGGGCACAGCTTCGCCCAGCTCTGCGGGCGCGTCCCCCACCGCGGGCCCTGCCTGCTGCTCCTCGAGGACCACGACGGCCACGTGTTCGGCGGGTTTGCCTCCTGCTCCTGGGAAGTCAAGCCTCAGTTTCAAGGTAGGACATGGCCACTGAAACCCAGGGGTGGGTAGCCGGGGGCGCGTCAGGAGTTCTGGTGAGACGGCTGTGGCCGGGAGACCCCTGAGCACCGGCAAAGGGTGTGAGTGTTAAAAGGGGGAGCGTCTCTTCTGGCTGCTCCTCCGGGCATTTGCCTCGCTGTGTCTGGGAGGAGAGGGAAACGTGCGGCTGCTTTCTGGTGGGGAAACGATGCCTGGGTTTCCTTTTGGTCCCGACGGCAGGGTCGGGTAGGCAGGCCGCGCATCCTCAGTTGGATTTTAGTTTTTTTAAAATAGTGTCAGGTCCAGGTCATGGGAGAGGCGGGGCTGCAGATGCCTCATGAGGGCCCCGGAGAGGCCAGCTCTTTCAGACGGGACGTCTTCCTTCCCTGGAACCCCTGTGTCTGCTGTGCCTCCGTCGCCATGTTTTTGGTTTTGTGATTTTGCTGGAGTTGGGAAGATCTTAAATCTCGAATGTAGCGAGATTTAAATGGTTCTAGAGAATTCTCCCCCTTCCTCAAAGAACAGTGCTCTGATAAGCATTTTTAAAGGGCCATTTTGAAGATGCTAATGTGCTGGGCATACTCGGGGGTGAAACTGCCTTCCTGGGTTTCGGTGTCGCTGTGTGTCCCCGGAGCATGGCCCGTCTGCCCGAGGCTTGTGTTCTCAGCTGGGTTCCTCGGGGCCAGTGGCTGTGGAGGGCTTTTCTTCATGGCTCTGAGCGCAAGTCCATTCCCGCTCTCCCTCCCATGGGATAAGTCAGTGGTCGGCAAACTCATTAGTCAACAGAGCCAAATACCAACAGTACAACAATTGAAATTTCTTTGGAGAGCCAAATTTTTTAAACAACTTCTTCTAATGCCACTTCTTAAAAATAGACTTGCCCAGGCCATGGTATTTTGTGGAAGAGCCACACTCAAGGGGCCAAAGAGCCACATGTGGCTCTTGAGCCGCAGTTTGCCGACCATGGAGCTAAGTGAATTCGGGGCAGGCTCCCTCCCCGTGCGGGGCGGGGTGAACATCCTCCCTAGCTGTGTGAGTGGAAGGGAGCTGAGATGTGGGAGACGGAGGGACTGCGCATCCGAACCAGACGGTCATCCATTTCCCGCCATTCTGCTGCGTCGCTCCGCCGCTTCTCTTCCTCTCTCAGCAGCGTGTGCAGCTGCCTTCTCATGGGTCCTCTGCTTTCAGTCTTGCCCTCCAGTCCGTTTGCCATGTTCCAGCTCGTCTCCTGGAAACTCTTAACAGACCCTGCTGCCCTCTGGCGGGCGCCTTTTACCTCCACTCTCCCGGCCCACTCCTGCTCCCCTTGAGATCCGTGCTCTCTAGCCATGTGCGACTCTCTGGCCCCTTGAGTGTGGCTCTTCCACAAAATACCACAGCCTGGGCGAGTCTATTTTGAAGAAGTGGCATTAGAAAAAGTTTAAGTTTAAAAAAGTTGGCTCTCCAAAGAAATTTCAATCGTTGTACTGTTGATATTTGGCTCTTTTGACTAATGAGTTTGCCGACCACTGCTCAAGGCCATCCCCACACAGTGTTCCACTGGCAGCACTCATGGACTCAGCAGAGATCTGTGCTCACGGCCCTGGTTTATCACCGTGAGAGGACACAGAACAAGATCAGTACAGGGAACAGGCTGGGGTGAAGTCTGGGGCAACCAGGCACGGCTCCCAGCGTCCCCTCCCAGGGGAGCCCCCCAGGACGTGCTGCACTCCCCCCAGCAACAGGCTGTGACAGCACGTGCACAGTGCCGTCCACCAGGAAGCTCAGTTAGGGCTCAGCGCCCAGGGTTATTTTGGGGGCCGGCCATGGGGGCACCCTCTGCCAGGCATGAAGCAAAGTCCCAGACTCCCGGGAGGAAAGCAGGAGTCAGCCCCAGTCACTGTGTGTGCAAGCAGTTCAGGCACCGGGCGCCACTCGGATCAGTTCTGGGAGTGGGGGCTCCCCCGGAACCCATGTTCCCAGACGCCAGCCCAGGGCCCGCCCTGGCAGCTCTTCTGGGACCGCAGTCTCAGGCCGCAGCGCCCCGTTCTGCACAGCCCCTTTCCCTGTCAGTGTCACGGGCTTGGCACCCCCTCCCGCTCCCAGCCTTTGGGGATGACGAGTTGCTCTGTCCTGTGGGTGGAGGCCATGCTTTAGGATATGGACAAAACACCTTCCTGAGAGCCATTAGGAATAAAATGTTCGCTTCTTCCAGCTCCTTAATATTAATGCCAGGTTAGCGCTGCTGGGTCTAATGTTTTATTAACAAGCAGAATTAATCTTCCCGAAGAACGGCGGAAAATGCAGTTACCAAGTTCTCCAACTCGAGTTCATTCTGTTCTGAAATACGGATGGAATCCCAGCAGAGGGCAGCCTTGCTCCAGAGTCCCACCCGATTCAGAGAGCACGCTCTTGTCTTGTCCGTTCCTCTAATGATGTGTGGGACTTGAAGTGACAGCCCCGGGGTTGCTTCACGCCTGCTCTGTCTCCTGTGGTGCAGCTGAAAGGCCCGTGGATTTGGGCTGGGCACAGAGCCTCGGCCCCCCAGAAGTGTGGGAATGGGCTTGTAAACTGTGTCACATGGGTGGCTGTCAGGTTGTCACTGTGGGAGTGAGGTGGGGGCCTCACTGTCGGTGTGGTTTTCTGCAGGTACCACTGCCTCCCTGGGTCCTTACCGCCACGTCCTAGGAAGAATCCTCCCCATGTGGCCTCCCTGCCGAGGGCAGCCCCCGGTGGACTGAAGTGGGGTGCATTGCAGCCGAGGGGCCTCTGCTTTGTGGCCCCGTGGCTTTGCTTAGCAGCATCAGACTGAATAAATGTTGGTTGAGAGACAGCCCTAGGATTGCAAAGCAAAGGGATCCTGTGACCGGCATGGGGGCAGTGGGGTGGGACCGGGTAGCTCACCGCTTCCAAAACCGCCCCCACCTGCTGGGCCACCCAAGCCCATGGACTCAAGTCTTTGCCCAGAGTCAGGGCCGCTGTCCTCTGGCTCCTGTGTTGGCTCCAGGCTCATCTCCCTGGCTGCCCTCCCCAGCACTCACACGCCCTTCAGGCAGGAAAGGGCCCCCGCTTTCCCCACACGTCTTGTCCCTGGGCGGGAGGTTGGGGGACTCCTCCAGGGAGTGGCTCTCCTCACAGCTGTCTCCGTCTCAGGATGTCCTCCCCGAAGCTCGGCCTCCAGAAACTCCCTTTCCGTCCTGACTGCACCCCGTGGATCTGTCTGGATTGAGGCTTGAGCATTGTTTACCCAGCTCGGCCCTTCCTGCTCCTTGAGGCCCCTGGGCTCGAAGCCCCTTCGTGTCTGCCCTCCACGTCTGCACTCTGTTGACTTCCCGGGACCTTCCTTCTGTCTCAGGAGCTGCCTGACCCCAAGGACCAGGAACTGCCTCTTGTGTGGGCTGTATGGCTAGTTTTGACACCAGGTGCCCTTCACACTGTCACTGTGGAGGGGCAGGCCTTTGGGCCAAGTTCACACAACTGTGGGGGCATCACTGGTGTGGCTGCCCCTGAGCTTGGGCTTCCTGGGGGCAAGATGGGCCTCCACCCCTCTCCTGGATGGGCTGAAGGTGCTTCTGGAATGAATGCATCAAGAAAGGGAGGGCTCTGAGACTCAGGGTGTGTTCATGCCCACAGTTTCAACTGGTACCTGCTCTCAGAGGCAGCATGCCCTGCCCTGGGATGAAGGTAGCCAGTCACCTCTCCCCGCCTGCCCCATCCTTCCTGCGGGGTGTCTACAGGGGTTCCCTCGCTGCCGAGTGGTGTGCTCTTTTAGGCTGGAATGGCCTTCCACAGCGTCCGGTGCCGACTGGAGGAGGCAGTGCCTACACAGAGTCAGGACCTGGAGTGACCACCAGGCTCCTTGCTCCGAGGTTAAAGGGCACCCGCCCCTTTGACTTGGTCATGTTCTTCCGATGAGCAGCGGGCAGAGTCCCATGACTGCTTCCTGTCTTCAGCCAGGGTCCAGGAAGGCCTGCGTGATGGCTGAGCCCCGGGTGTGTGTGAGCTCAGGGCACACGTGAAGACCCACGTGATGGTCTCGCTGCTCTGCCACTGAGCAGTGACTTGTTTGCAGCCCCTGCTTCTCTCTGTGATCCTGCTTACGTGTGCTCTGGTCACTTTCAGGGGACAACAGATGCTTCCTGTTCTCCATCTCCCCCAGCATGGCTGTGCACAGCTGCACGGGCTACAACAACCACTACATGTACCTGAACCATGGGCAGCAGACCATCCCAAACGGACTGGTGAGGACCGGGGAAGGGCTGGGACGTCCCACCGGAGTGTCCGACCCGGTGGAGTCAGTCCTGATAACCGGGGAGCTGCATGCACTCACTCATACCACGTGCCCTGTTCGGTTCATTCTGCCTGGTGCCAGGGCCGCGATGAGTGACAGGGGGGACAGGAGTTGTCTGGTGTAACAGAATTTCACCTGGAGCCTCGGATGGGGTGTTTTGGTGGCTTGTGTGCGATGGTGGATTTGGCCAGTTTTCCTGGTAATCAGATGATCCGTGGCCTTCGTGGCTGGACATAGTGTCGGTGTCAGACCTGTCACTGGCCTTGCTGCCCGGCCACATGCTTGGGGAGTGAATTGGGGGAGGGACACAACCAGGGCTGGACTCCCTGGAGCCATGGGGAGTTGTCACCCATGACCCACAAAGCAGTGTGTGGGGTGGCCGCACCTCCTGTCCGCTCAGTGCTCCGGCCTGGAGACTCGGCTACGTGAAGAGGCAAGGGAAGGTGAAGGCCAAGGGCCTGGGTGGGCGAGGGGGCAGGCCCCATGCACACACACAGCAGCCCAGCAGCTGCGGGCCCGCTACATGTGGGTGAGAGATGTGCCTCTCAACAGCACTCCCGCCAACTTATTTTCCTCTAACAAAAAGCTCCTTTCGGGAAACTCCGCCCTGTGCTTGCAAAGCCAGGGTCCAGGAAGGCTGGTCCCCCTGTCAGGATGGAGAGCGCCCCCATGCCCTTTCCCAGGCTTGCTGCATGCCTGCCCGGGGCCACCTGAGGACCCGACACCTCCCAGAAAGGGCAGTGTGGTGACCACAGGGCTTTGGCCTCAGGAGCTGCACCTAGTGGGTCCCCAGGAATCGCCAATCATCAGTCTGAAGGAGAGAAGCTGCTGAGAACGACTGCACTCTTCTTCTTCTTCTTCTTCTTCTTCTTCTTCTTCTTCTTCTTCTTCTTTAATATATTTTATTGATTTTTTACAGAGAGGAAAGGAGAGGGATAGAGAGTTAGAAACATCGATGAGAGAGAATCATCCATCAGCTGCCTCTTGCACACCTCCTACTGGGGATGTGCCCGCAACCAAGGTACATGCCCTTGACCGGAATCAAACCTGGGACCTTTCAGTCTGCAGGCTGACACTCTATCCACTAAGCCAAACCGGTTTCGACAACTGCACTTTCTTGCTTTGGCTTCTTGCTTGAAAGTAGTTCCAGGCACCAGGGCCGCAGGAAGAGGTAGTGGAGTTGGCACCCAGACACGTGACCAGGGAGGGGAGCCCCAGTTCTGTTCTCGTCGCCACGAGCTTAGAGGTGGCAGTGGCAGAACAGCTCTGCGTCACCCCCTGGGCCTGTGTTCCCCTCTCCCCCCGGGCCTGCCTCCTGGTTTCCCTCCTTGTGGGTGGCACACGGAGTGAGGGTCTTACACCCTCAGCGCAGTGCCCTGGGCTGTGGGGGACGAGTGTCCCTGCTGCAGGTTTCCCACAAGGTTCTCCGGCCCTGACAGCATGTTTCTGTCCTCTGTCAGCCAGGGTAGCCCCCAGAGAAAGCCATGCGGTGGGGGTCCGGACACCTCAGTGGTTATTCCGGTAACTTGTGCTGGGATATGTAACTGGCACCAGTCTGTCTATCTCGGCCTGGTGGCCGAGGCTGATGTAGGCTCGGAGTCAGACACGCAGGCCGGGGAGACACTGACGGCCTTCCCTCCGCAGGGCATGGGAGGGCAGCATCACTACTTCGGGCTGTGGATCGACGTGGACTTCGGGAAAGGACACAGCAAGGCCAAGCCCGCGTGCACCACGTACAACAGCCCCCAGCTGTCGGCCCAGGAGGACTTCCGGTTTGAGAAGATGGAGGTGTGGGCGGTCGGAGACGACTCCCGCTCCAAGCTGGTGAGCGTGGGGCGCTTCTCCACTTCCTCAGCCTCACTCCATTGGCTAGAGGGAAGCCTCTAGAGACGGTTTATCCCACATCTTTTTCCCGAATTTTCTGGCCAGAGGGATGCCAGTGAGGGCACAGCAGAGTCCTGTCAGGGTCCATTGAGGCGGGGAGATTAGCAGAATGAACCACCAGGAAAGCCCACGGTGGGAACTGGGGTGCTTGAGGGGCCCCCATCTGCAAGAGGAGGTGGGTTGGGGTGCCTTCTGGTTCTGTGGTTCTGCACTGAGTCATGGTTGGGCCCCCTTGTCACCTCCCAGCAATGGCATGCCGGGGCAGGGAGGCCGCAGTGAGGGAGCCGGAGCCCCCACCACACTTCCTGTGGCAGCAGTAGGCTTATTGTCCACTCGAATAAGCTTGAAGCATCCCCTTTTGCTCTGGGCTGTGCATCCTTGGTCACTGGACACACCATTTCCTTTTCCCCCAAGGCCAAGAGCAACAAGAGCATCCTGGATGTGGACCCCGAGGCCCAGGCCCTGCTGGAGATCAGTGGGCGGAGTCGCCACAGCGAGGGGCTCCGGGAAGTCCCTGACCAGGAGTGAGGAGGAGCCTGGAGCGAGGGTGGGCCTGGAGCTGTGCGTGACCCCCCCGGACAGAGCACTCAGCCTGCAGAGTCCTCCCCATCCTGCGGGTGCTTAGCTTTCACGCAGAGCTGCCCGGCCGCATCCTGGGGGTGCTGACTCAGAACGCAGCCACCGCTCCCGTGCCATACATTGACGCGTGAGTGTGTCTCCCAGAAATCCCGAGTGTCAAATGAGCCCCTTAAGTCCTGCACTTTGTAAATTTTGTCTCGCTGAAGTGCAAAGACATGGAGACACCTGAGACCTCTGTTGGAATCGGCATTGGACGGGCATGTGGGTTCTGGGCGTGGGGTTTGGCCCGCTGCTGGGGTTGCTTGGCCTCTGATCGGGTGTTTGTCACCGTTAAAGTGCCTTGACATTCCGTTTCAACGGGTAAAGGACAGGCATTTGGATGGGAATCGCGATGCTTTTTTACATATTAATGGGGGGAAATGGCCAAAGGTTTCGGAGATGGCAGCAGCCTGGGTCTTCAGTAGGTGTCCATGAGGGTCCACGCCTGCCTTCTCAGCTGTCTCTAAATGCGACTGTGCCATGAGCAAGTGGGAAAATGAGCACGACAGGGAAGTTCTGTTCTGTTACTAGTCCAGTGTTGGGTATTTGGAGGCCCGTCTGCGGCCTGTTTTATAAATTAGTGGCACCTTGGCGGCACCGGCCTGGGTGCGGCCTCCTGACACGCACCTGTCCATGTCACCTTCCTGCCCAGTGCTGCTCCCTTCAAGCAAACCCAGTGACCCCAAAATGCTAAGGACCGCTGAGCTTAGTGGGGTGGGCTTCCGTGCAGAGCTGCCATCGCCCAGGTCTGGAAACACTATAAACACACTGTGCAAATCCCTTCCTCCACAGAGCTGTGGGCGCCTCTCAGACACGTCACTGCGTCCTTGTGTCTTCTGCTCTGAGCTTTGACCTTTTACAACAGAATTTATGCCCTGATTATAAGCCATAGCAAACTGAGCTGTTTGCCTTTTGTAGCTTCTTCATTTTCTACCAGGAGGCTCATCAAGCTTTGCACTCGACAGTGCCGTTGACTGAGCAGAAGGCCCTGCAAAGGAGACTTCCACAGGGAAGCACACGCTCGGACGGAGCGCAGAGGGGCAGCGGTGTGACACGCATAGGTGCAGTCACGATTGATTTCCTTATAAAAAGCCAGTTTGTAATAGCTTCCCTGGTACATTAGGTGACTTCCTCACAGACGGATCAGCAGTTGCAGGACACTGGGGCCCTCAGACAGCCTCACCATAAATCTGAAGAATTAGGTCTTGAATATTCAGTTTGTTGTGGAATGTTTTCTCTTTGTTTTATAAAATGCAATTAAATACCTCATTAATAAAAGATCATTGGCGTCCCTACATTGAGTACCGTTCACTGCTGCCTCTGTGGCTGCTGGGGAGGCGGAGGTTTTGTCTGCCTGCGTGTTTCCCGCCTTGTGCTTGTTCTGATGAGAGTGCATGCAAACCAAGGGGGTTGTGTTTCCCAAGATGCACCCTTCCGGGAGGCAGGGAGGGTGCCCAGACCAGGTGCGTGGTTCCCTGGGGGATGCTGCCCTCACGGTGGGCCTGCGGGTCTGAGCACACCCTGATACGGTATCAGTCGTGGCCGGGCCACTGGCCTGGCGCACCGTCCTCTACCTGGGGCCAGGAAGCCTGTGACGCTGGTCTTAACCGATGCTCTTTTACAATCAGGAATAACAATTCAGGTTGTAAGGATCAGTGGTCTCCACAAGTGAAGACTGGTCAGCACCTAAAAAGGTGCTAGAAGGAAGAAATGAAAAAAAAAATGCAGTTCCTGTTACCAACCTGCCTATCTTCCCATCATGTTTTATCAATTTAAAAAATGACCACATGTGGCTGAAACTGGTTTGGCTCAAAGGATAGAGCATCGGCTTGGGGACTGAAAGGTCCCGGGTTCGATTCTGGTCAAGGGCATGTACTTTGGTTGCGGGCATATCCCCAGTAGGGGGTGTGCAAGAGGCAGCTGATGGATGATTCTCTCTCATCGATGTTTCTAACGCTCTATCTTTCTCCCTTCCTCTCTGTATAAAATCAATAATAAAATAAAAATATATTTTTAAAAAATGACCGCATGTGTACGTGGTAAAAACGGCCAAAATGGAAACTATAACCGGAAGAGGGAAGTCTTCCTCCTGCCCCCTTCCCAGCATCTCCTTCCCAAGAGGCAAAAGCTTGACTGTTTTCCACACTGGTGTGCCCCTCACTTTTTATTGGGTAGAGATGGCTCCATAGTCATCCATCTGTCGCCTTGTTTTCGTTGACTGTGTAATGTCCCATTATTCGAATGGGCATCATTTCTAGGGTTGAGTCACCTCGGCTGCGGAACATTTGGCTTGCAGCTCACTGTGGCTGCAGTGACTATCCCGTGTGTCTTGGTGTGATTTCTATCCGGAGGATAAACTCTTAGAAGCTGTTGGATCAAAAAGTACATGAATTTTTATTTAGATACTAACAAATCTAATCCTTCGAGCTCAATTTATATTTTTAACATATTGGAGTACTTGTTTGCTATATTTTCATCAGCATGATATTAAAGTTCAGTTTTTGTTTACTTGATACACGAAAACTAATTTTATTTTCTGTTTTATGTGTGACAGTGAGCAGCTTAATTTTTTAAAAGCCGTCTGTATTATGTCCTTTATCTGGTTTTCCAGGGTGTGAGTCTTCTCTGATTGATTTGCAAGAGTGCTCTTTGGAATGAGGCAAATCAGCATTTGATGTGTATGGCAAATATGTTTTCCAGTTTGTTCAAATTTATTTATTTTTCTTTACATAATTTTTGTATTTTATGCCATCATATTTGCCAATTTTTCTCCACTTTTAGATTAAAAAAAATGTTTTCTTCTACTACTTTTGTGCTTTCTATTTTTACGTCTACATCTTTGAACCATTCAAAATGTATTTTATTTATTTATTTAAATATATTTTATTAATTTTTTACAGAGAGGAAGGAAGAGAGAGAGCTAGAAAGCCAATGAGAGAGAAACATCGACCAGCTGCCTCTTGTATACTCCCTACTGGGGATGTGCCGGTAACTAATGTACAGGCCCTTGACCGGAATTGAACCTGGGACTTTTCAGTCCGCAGACCGATGCTCTACCAGTTTCGGCTCAAAATGTATTTTAAAATAGACTTCTATCTTACCCCAAAGTAAATTCCAGTGCCTTTTATATTAAATGCCTCTTTCCTACTGACTCAAATACTACTTTCTCCTTAACTGAATTTATGAATGAACTTAAGATTTTTGTCCCATATTTTAATTACTGGACTTTTATGATAAAAAGATGTAAGAGATATTCCACTATGACTACTGTTATTTTGGAATCTTCCTCCATATGCTTGCCTGGTTATTTTCTGCCACCCTTGGCAGCACTTGACTTCGAAAAAATCAGATAGCACATTTTTGAGATAGCATTAAATATAGATTGCTGTAGGCAGAACTGACACTTGGCTAAAAATTTATGATTCATGCTATCCAAGAACAGAAATACTAAGTTTGCTACATAAAGTTTTGTTGTCATTGCTGGCACTGTAAGGGGCTTTATTTTTTCCAAGATGATTATTTGAACATAGAAAACTTCTTAATTTCCCCACATAGTTTTGTACTCAGTTACTGAGCTTTTACCCAGTGGTTCTCCATCCTGAGCCTGCACAGGATCAAGGGCCTCTTCAAATGCAGATTGTGGAGCTCTACCCCTAGCATTTGACTCAGTAGGTCTGGGAAGGAGGGACCCAAAGAATTTATATCTATACTAATAAAAGGGTAATATACTAATAAAAGGGTGTTGGTCACAACACCCTCACACTAGGCTGCGTGGGGTGACCAGGCCAGCAGGGGGGAAGGGGGGATAGTGAGGGACGACCAAACAACTGACCTACAGGTTGCATGGGGCAACTAGGCTAGCAGGGGGTTAGTGATGGACAACCAAACGACTGACCAGCAGACTGCATGGGGCGACCAGGCCAGCAGGGGTGGGGGGAGGGCAGTGAGGGGTGATCAGGCTGGCAGGCAGAGGCAGTTAGGGGTGATCAGGCAGGCAGGCAGGTATGTGAGCAGTTAGGAGCCAGTGGTCCTGGATGGTGAGAGGAATGTCCAACTGCTGGTTTCGGCCAGATCCCAGGGTTTGTCTGAAACCGGCAGTCAGACTTCCCCTGAGGGGTCCCGGATTGGAGGGGGTCCAGGCTGGGCTGAGGGGACTCCCCCCCGTCCCTGTGCATGAATTTTATGCACCAGGCCTCTAGTTTCTAATAAGATTCCCAGCTCATGCTGGTGCTTCTGTTTCTGGGGCCTCACATTGAGAAGCACTGCTGTTCATTGTTGTTGTTGTTTTATCCTTACCTGAGGATATGCTTATTGATTTTTAGAGAGAGAGGAAAGGAGAGGGAAAGAGAGAAATATCTATCGGATTGCCTCCCGTATGTGCCCAACCAGGGATTGAACACACAACCTAGATATGTGCCCTGACCAGGAATTGAACCTGAAGTATGGGTTGACACCCCAACCAAATGAGCAGCCTGACCAGGACTGTTCATTGTTTTTAATCGACTATGAATTCCCTTGGAGTTTACAGGTATTATGATATTTTTTTGTTTGAAATCTTTATTTTGCCTTTGTTTTTGAAGAATTATTTTTTGAAAGATATTTTTATTTGTTTTCCCCCAACCACTTTAAAATGTCTTACTGTTGTGTTTTGGCTTACAAGATTTTTTTCCTTTTTTAAATCCTCACCCGAGGATATTTTTTCATTGATTTTTAGATAGAGTAGAAGAGAGAGGGAAAGACACAGAGAAACATGGATGTGAGAGAAACTCATCAATTGGTTGCCTCCTGCATGCACCCGGACCAGGGCCCAGGCCAGGGAGGAGCCTGCAACACTGAGGTAAGTGCTCTTGACCAGAATCTCACCTGGGACCCTTCAGTTCATAGGTCGACACTCTGTCCACCCAGCCAAATGGGCTAGAGTCAGGGGTCTTCAAACTACGGCCTGCGGGCCACATGCGGCCCGCAGAGAAGTCTGATCTGGCCCACCAGTGAGCACAGCCGAGGTGTTACAGTTCGGCCGCCAGGACCTGCATATACACTGTCACTGCACAGCCGCTCTGACCCCTCTGCCTCTTTAAGAGCACAGTGCCTGCTGGGGCTCAGAGCGGGCGACGTGCCGCCGCACAGGCACGTCTGTGCTGTGCTGCGCGGCAATGATGTAAAAAGGCACCTGCTTCACCCCCAGGCAACGTGGTGTCTGTGTGCTGTGCCTGCCTGTCAGTGAGGTTCTCCTCCTCTCCCTCCACTGCCTTCACCAAAGGTCGGTTGAAAGTGCCATAGAAAGAAATTTTTGCCAGATGAGGAGTTTCTGCCCGATTGGGGGGTGGGGGGTTGGTGACTCATGAAAATTCCCCTTTAGGGGGTGTGGGGGGGCGTTCGGTGCTGAAATCAAAATTCTGCCAGTTGGGGGGTGGGTGGGGGGGGTGGTTGGGAGGTCAGGGCTTCGGTGCTGAATTGCCCATATGGAAAATTCTGCCAGTTTTGGGGGGAAGGTGTTCGGTGCTGATATGTGAAATCAAAATTCTGCCAGGTGGGAGGTGGGGGGAGGTTAGGGGTTCGATGCTAAATTGCCCATATGGAAAATTCTGCCAGTTTTGGGGGGAAGGTGTTCGGTGCTGATATGAGAAATCAAAATTCTGCCGGGGGGAAGGGGGGGGGGGGCGACTTGGACCAAGTCTCTTTGTGGAAGAATTGAGACTGACAGCATGCCGCCCCAGCCAAAAGCAGGCCCACAGTTCCCATTGAAATACTGGTAAGTGATCTGTTTATTTATAAATGTTCTTCATTTTATTTATATTGTATTTGTTACCTTTTTGTGAAATAAGATATGTGCAGTGTGGGTAGGAATTAGTAGTTCATATAGTCCGGCCCTCCAGCTCTCTGAGGGACCGTGATCTGGCCCCCACTTTAAAAAGTTTGAGGACCCCTGGGCTAGAGCATAAGACTTCTACTTCTCTCCCCACACTCCCGCCACCTAACTTTACTGAGATATAATTTACTCAGAACATTGTGAAGGTTGAAGGAATACAGTGTATGATTGCAGGCATTATGATTGCATACCTAGAAATAAGGATAATTTCCCTAGTCTTCTGTAAACTAGACCTTTTATTCCTTTCTCTTGATTAAGTGTATCAGCAAATATTTTGAGAACTTTTAAAGTAATGATACATCTTCTCATTTCTGATTTAATGGAAATACATCTAGTCTTCTATCATTAAGCATGATGCTGGGTTTTTTGAGACATTTCATATAAAGGAAGTAATTATTTATATTTATATTAAAGAATTTCTATCAAGAGATAGTGAATTT